GTATATATGTATGTTATTTATATGCATATATATATATATTTATATATATATATTTATATATCTATATATATCTATATCACTATCTATATATATATATTTATATATATATATGGAAACGCACACACACTTATGTATATATATATATATATATATTCACACACACCCATATGTATACATTTCAGGAGAAGCCATGGAAATGAATGGAATAAATCTTGCTATGATACATTGGGATCGTTGCCATTGCGCAAATTTTATTACGATTCACGCCAAAATTACCAATTGTACTGAAAATTGGGTAACCTAAAAAAAATCAGGAGGCTATAAAAGTCGCGGAATTTCCATTTGTGAGGCTGTATGATCATCGCACCTCTAGTCAATAACAAGAAAAACATATGTATGCCATGCATACTAATATGTCCATTTGTATGCGTATGAAGAAGTCATCTGCTGTAGCGTAATTGTCTTGACGAGCAGCGCAAGCCTACCTACATAACTTCTCAGAAGCAAGCACGCTCCACGACAATAGGTGACAAGCCTAGCCGATGATATCCGGGCTTTCATTTATGTGCACCAGGCATTAGACCCCAACTGCTCATCCTCAGCGCTTTGGCCGCAACTGTGTAGTCGCACAGCACAATAATAGCAGCAATGATCCTCACTACAACCGCTAACCCCCTGGCAGATTGCGCACGTTTGTCGCCAGTGAAGGATAATCACGTAGGTAATGCTCGCCACCACAACCGCTAACCCCCTTGCGAGCTCCGCATGTCTATCGCCAGGACATGGGTATCATGTGATTGAATACGCGTGTCGCGTGCTTATGTATGGTGTTCATGATAAGTCTTTATGCCGGAAGATCAGATGTACCTATCACATAAGATGTGACAAGTGTACATCAATGTCTTCTGGCGCTAATGAGAGGCGGTGAAAAAGGCCTCATCTCGTTCACTGGGGCATTTGAATAACCACTTATCACTGCATCTGAATAACCACTTCCTGCTGCATTTGGATAACCACCTACTACTGCTGTATAGTGTCCAGTGTCAGTCTCAGGGGGGCTGATCACACCAGCCCAAGACAATTTTTCCAGTGGCACAATGTCGACAATGTATCAGTATACATCCCTCGTATGTGCGGCGTCACTGCCATGCACGAAGTCATCGAATGTCCTTGAGCGTGAGTCCATCATGCTCCACATCCACGTTGAGTGTTGCTTGTGCTTCAGTGTTTGTGCACCCCTACACGGCTCGAGTCGGCGATATATCCCACTGCCGACCTGCTATGTCTTTCCGGCTAGTGCTAATATACAGTCCGCATCACATGCTCAAGTGTCCAATAATATAGGGTGGCCTTTTTCATCACTTGACAGATCTATCTCAGATGCCGCGCTAGTATTGGACCGTTCTCGCCAGTTGCCAGAGTGCACGAAAGTACGATCAATGAATGTGCTACATATATAATACACTACTGATTCGACTGGTTCATTGATATCCCGCATCACTGGACGCTGCTGGATCTTGATAGAGTCTGGGGAGGTTCGATATATTCAGACTATTCAGAGGCATGTTCAAACTATTCGTAGGCATAGGATTACCGTTTTCGTTCCCACTATACGGAAGCGCCTGTAGGTGAAAGCTGCCCGAGCTCATGTTCATGCTATTTAGACTTTGGTTCGACTCCTCGATATGTATGGGTGCAGAGTTGGTACCAGCTCCCGGATGGAACCCATTCAGAGACACGGAACCCATAGAGCCCATAGAGCCCATAGAGCCTCCGGCTGGTGACAAGGCCGCGGGTCGATGACCCTGACCTACATTTTGGCTCATGCTGTGGCTCAAATTATGTATGCTATGGCCCCGTCTATTTGACTTCTCATCCAGAAACTGCTCGAACAAGCTCTTACTCGGAGGCGCACCTTGTAAATATGCACCCGAATTCAGATTATGGGTCGAAATCGTCCCCGAATCCAGGCTTGGACCCATTGGTGGGAGTCCCTTCAACATCCGTTCTGAGGGCTCTGAGGGGTATCTATCAATACGCAAGCCTGAATTGTGGTGTGTTGGGAGTGCACCAAATTGCATGTTTGCCGCTCTACGCGGTACTTGTTGCGAGCTTCGTCGTCGGGGACCTCCGTGAAACATATTGTTCTGATTGTTGATACTGTGTTGGCTATTTTTATTGTTGTGGTTGATGTTATTGATGTTGTTGCCGTTGATATCATGTCCGGGGAAAACCGAGGGGGGAAAAACGTCTGGAGTGCTTGCAGTTAAACCTGTAGTTAGTGACAAGTGCAAAATATGAATATAGAACAATTCGTTGAGTTTTAGGAATTGATAAAGTTGCTTCGATGTATAGATTGAACATCCGACTTATATATACAAACAAAAATATAAAATAAATAGCACACACACACACATTCATATATATATATATATAAATATATATATATATATATATCAATAATTTATATATATACATATATGAATATATACTTACATATATATATATATATATATACATAGAGAGAGAGAGAGA